CTGAGTCTGAACATTAGAGCAGGGGCCAGGCACTACTGTTCACAAAGACAGTCTGAATTAGGAACGCTTGAAATGAGATGGAAATACGTGTGAATGTTAAACCACTGTTTCCAAAATCATGACTACAACACTGAGAAAAACTGAACTGAACTACTGTTGTATTATTGTAATGTAATATACAAAATGAAACATTCTTGTGTTTGCATTAAGCTAAAACAAGGCTGCTACTACAGAACAGAAGTCTAACCTATAGCACTCAATGAACAAATGTATAGCTTTTTGCTGCTTGTTGTCTCTGTGACAGAGACGAAGGTGAAGGCAGCCTCAACTCTGCTCAGTGTCAGGTTTAGACCAGAGTTCAGCTCCTGAAGGCCTCTGCTGCTAAACACACACAGGATTAGATAATAAATGGTTGGTGGTGCGCTGCGGTTTCTACGAGCAACACTGTTCCTGCACCCCCCACCCTGAGTCAGTGGTATGGGGATGAATTTAATTACCGACTTGGCTGCCCCTCCAGCCCGCCAACCTTGAGGTCATTCTGCCTTCATACAGCTTTTAATCAGCAGCGCTGCTCCAGAAAAGCTCCACTGTCTTAAATAAGAGGCAGGACGAAACCTGATCCTCCCACACACACAGGGAGGGTTGGCCGTCCAGCATCGGCCCGATCCCTCTCACCTCATTCAAAGGAGACAAAATCCTACAATGCCTCAACTTTCTGCAATGAAAAGGCTTCAAGCTCTGATCTGGGTGTGCTGTGCATTTTTACTTACAACTCTTAAATGTAGCAGGACAGAAAGGTAAAACAAATTCTCAAGACTTGCCACTGTCTTCACCACAAATCATCCCCCTCTGGTGAAAATGAAAAGGAGTTCATTCAGACAAAAGCCTCACTGAAGGTTTTCAGCTTCACACCATGAAGTTTTTCCTCAGAGCTGAAAGTCCAGCTCGGGATAAAGCCACAAGCAGCGACTGCAGCAGCAACAGAGGCGTTTCGACCTGCAGACTGTCTGAACTGAAGGCAGCTCACTGTGAACCTGGACGCCACAGATTACTTTAACCGCAGAGTGGAAACGCACACAGACGGGTGCCACGAGGCTATCGGGATGGAGACCAGCGGAACGGGAGCAGTCACACACAGGCTTTAGTCTGGGAGAGGGGCTGACTGTAATTAAGGTGCAGGGACAGATAGGGTTCTAGAAGCTGGGCTCAGAGTGTTTGTGTGTGTCAACGGATCACCTGAAACATGACCAGAACTGAAGGAAAAGCCACAATAAAAAACACTTTATTCCCAAATGTTCTTCCTATAACATCTCGTCACGACAGCATGTGTTAATCTGCAGCTTGTCCAGATCATTTCTCAAAACAAGTGGAAAAATCTGAAGACCCCAGCTTTTTTCTAGGAAAAATCAGCTTTTATCAAAGAGAGGGGAAATGAGTGTTGTTGTATCTAGTAGCTGTTCTGGAGCTTTCAGTCACAGCACATTGTGTTCATCACCAGATGGAGTTTTTATACTTTGAAGAACTTATCAAGATTTGCTTACAAGTTGAGTCTTTTTAAATTCCTGCTTTTAAATGTAACTTCTGCACCCGCTGATGATCATATAATACAACTGAAAGGTCCACAACAGCCACTAAATGGATTTTGAGTTGAGAGTGTTTGTCACATATCATTCTAAGGTTAAGAATTTACTTTGAAACTCATGAAAAATGAAACAATTGGGAAAACGCTGGATATTCTGAGATGGTTTCACTGGTTTGAAGAAATTAAAGGACTCAGACATGTTTAAGTACCAGTTAGGAAAAGGAAGCTGAAAGTGGACCTTGTAGCTAATTTTACCCATTTAACCAGAAGCTGTCCTCAGTTTCCAAGAAAACTCCGAAGCTCCGACAAACTTAGAATGAGAATGTGCCAAGTATTTAAACTGTGTGCCAAATCTGCTGCACATGCCTCTGCCACTGCAGTGCTCACTAATATCCCAACCAGCCAAATTATTAAACTGTGGAATCAGTCGGAAATCGGGAAACATGCTGAGCAATCACTCCAGAGATAATTGTTTTTTTTTAACCCAGCGAGTCGTCCTGAGAGGTGTGCCAGCCGCAACCACAAACACTGCCACGCACTTCTCGCCAGGAGCTTCTGGCAAAGGCGTTTCTTTCTTCTCAGACTTCTGCTTTACTTTACCGCTGGTGAAGTTATGGCTGTCTGCAGCAGATAACACGTCTGTCTGCATCCAAGCTCAGAGACAGAGAGCAAAGGTGGAGGAGCTGGGGTGTCATCCTCAGCACTGACAGATAAGGAAGTCGGGAGGGAAAAAGTGTTGCAGTGAAGTTTTATCAGTGGCAACACAAAACCATTCAGTGACACTTACATCCCGCCCAAGAATCAACACAAATATCCACTGTGTGACACAGGAACCTGTTCTCCTCATGCGACTGCACTGTAAAGGGGTTTTTCATAGGAACCGAAACATGTAGCGCCGAGTAACGGTCGTCACAGGTTCTGCGTTTGTTTCTGCTACTGTGCATGGAGGTGTGCTCTGGGAGCTAAACTTCAGTGTTGCTCAGGAGGTAGTACTAAAACCAAGTGCCAAGACTGCGAGGGGGGAGGGGGTGTGCACGCAGAGCAGTCGACGGTGATCGGTTAAATGTCCACGTCCTCACACCTCATGCGTTACAAGCACCGTGTGTAAACACACAATGGACTGCGGGTGTGAGGGGGGCGCAGCTCCTCCCTCCTAAACAGAGACCAACAGAGAGAAACACAGTAGAGAAACAAAACAGGATGGTCAACATCAACCCTGGAGACTACACTCGGTGATGGTTAAGGGAAATATGGGGTGACCACTGGTAGTGAAAACGCAGCATATTACTGCTTCCAGCTAGTAGACACGGCCTCGCACTCTGAGGTGATGAATGACCTCACAGTTCGTGTGTGTTAGTGATGCCCCTTACCCCCACTTACCATACTTGGCAGCACTGTATCAGCAATCAAGTCCTACAAGTTCCTGGGCTCCACAATCTCCCAGGACCTGAAGTGGACATCCAACATCAGGACCATCATCAAGAAGGCACAGCAGAGGATGTACTTCCTGCACCAGCTCAGGAAATTCGACCTGCCCCAGGAGCTGCTGATACAGTTCTACAGAGGAATCATCGAGTCTGTTCTCTGCACCTCCATCATTGTCTGGTTTGACTCAGCAACCAAACAGGACAAGTACAGACTTCAGCGGACAGTGAGGACTGCAGAAAAGGTCATTGATGTGAGCCTGCCCTCCATGGAGGACCTGTACACCGCAGGGGTCAAAAGGAGGGCGGAGAGGATCACTACAGACCCCTCACACCCTGGACACAATCTGTTTGAACTCCTCCCCTCTGGACGGCGTTACAGGTCACTGTGCACCAAGACAACCAGGCACAGGGACAGTTTCTTCCCCCAGGCCGTCACTCTGATGAACACTTAACCAATGACAGTATGATTGGACAATAACCCTCAGTGCAATGCCTGTAAATATACATTGTACAGATTATACAGATTCATACAGGTCTCTAGTTCTTAAGTACTCTGTTTTTATTCCTATTTATCTCATTTCAATAAACATTCCTTTGTCTGCATTGTTTACTGTCTGTTTATACTGCTTATTCTGCATTGTTTGCACTGTTTGTTGCTGTTAATGTCGCTGTTAATACTGCTTATTTTGTTATATTACACAGCCTTATGCTGGTTTACTGTTTGCACATTGAGAGCCGGTGTATCTGAGTCAAATTCCTTGTGTGTCCGTCACACCTGGGCAGTAAAGCTGATTCTGATTCTGATTCTAATCATTTGTGTAACAACAACAACAACAACAAAAAAACATGCCCAGTTCTTATTTCTGCTGTTTTTGTGATGCAACCACTAACATATATACGAGGGACATGGCCATCTTCCTCCACTCTCCCAAAATATCGTGAAAACAGCAGCTGCCAGTTTTGAAACCAGATTCTGCACAGTCGTGACCAGAAGTGGAGTGACAGCATCTGATCACCACTCAACCGAAATACACCTCTTTTCATATAATCAAATAACTTAGTAAAAACTAACTTACCAGTAAAATGACCACCTGTACACAATCAGCACAATAATGTCTACCAAAAACCACAGATGTGACCCTTGTGAGTATTAATTTTGGCTCATGTCCCTTCCACTAACATGGAGGAGGTGAGATTTATTACCTATACTGCAACCAGGCTTCATTTCTGGGAGCTGTCATGGTGTCCATATTTTCTATAGTCGATCAATGCAACATACACACAGATCTTGTTAACTGACCGATACACAAAAATCAAAACAAGCATAAGGACTAATAAGCAGAAATTGCATTGCTCAATACTGGCACAACTTTTTTGCATGTTTGGCCTAAAGAGCGCTTCTATAGGGACAAAATGAAAAGTGAATGTGCAATAAATATAGAGGTACAAGTCAAACTTCACAGCACTAATATGCTAACACAACTGAGCCATGCAGATGCATCTGTCACACTCTCATACCTGGCTACTTTTAGTAACGCACGTGTCATTTAATCATAAAACACCGGTTTCAGAGTGGAATTGACAGTTAACAGGAAAACTCACCGGATGAATGTGTATTTGTTTTCCTTTGACCTGTTACTGTAGTGTGTATCGACACATCATTCCTATGTCAGCACACATGACAAGACTCCATCAACTAGGAACTCTGAACTTTGACAGGACAAAAGCTACAACTGCAAACTCAGAAACACAACAGACACAAATCTGCAGCACATCAGCCCACAGCTGCAATACTCTGACAAAATAAGACAGTGAGAAGCTGCAGGTTTGTGCTGGATTCTGTGCTGTCGTGTGATGTTTCTCTGGTGTGTTTGCAGACAGAGTTTAGCTTCACTTTGTGTTTTTGACATTTGCTGACCAACATCATCACATGTAAAGTTTCACACCCTCTGCTGCTCAGCATTACACACAACAGGAGAGTCGGGACTGACCTGCGTGGACGAAGTAGGCCAGGTAGAGATCCAGCTCCTTCACTGAAACTCCAATGTGATGCGGCTGCACACACAGACTGGGGTTCGAACACTGAGGAGACTTTACCAGCCTTTCCCCGTCAGTACTTTCAAGGGGAATCCCTTTGAATAAAATCACCATGACCAGGTCCAGCCTCCACACTTTGTCCGCCTGGCGCAGGCAGTCGATCCTCCTCATCTTGCCCTTCTGATCAGGGTTGGACAGCACGCAGCACGGTGGCTTCTTCCCCGTCACCGTCAGCACAAAGTCCTCCCTGAACTCAGGCCGGATGTCCTTGCGCAGTTTGGCCAGGAGGCGCGATGCCCACTTCTGTTTGACCTCAGGCTTCTCACTGAGCAGCTCGTCCTTCACGGCACGCTCCTCCTCCTTGGACATGCGCTTCTCATGCTTCTTGAAGTACTTCCTTTTTCGGGCCTGGAGGTTGAACCATGTGTAGGCAAAGGCCCGGACGTGGGGCAGCAGGGCTTCGATGAAAGGATGGAATTCATCCTGAAGGACAGAAAGGGGATGAACACGTTAACACAGTCCAGATCTACTCTGATCGTTCACCTGCAGCGACCAGCTTGTTCCACTCTAACAGTATCACACACACAGCACTGTCAATTATGTGTTGTCAGGCTCTTTGAGGCTTCACACAGTGAAAGCATCAAACCACAGACTCCATTTCAGGCAAGTTTAACAAAAACTCAGTTGTCAGATCTGGTATCTGGGGAAACTGGGATTTACACTAGACCTTAAACTCATGTTTTATGGGTATGAACAGAGTTTTAGCTGCATAGCAGGAGCTTGATCGTCCCACTGGTGAGTTGGTGGAGGTCAAAGAGGTCCCAAAACTATCCCCCAAACTAAAGGGGATAGTTACTAAATCCTTACAAACTGTAAAAATACCAACCAGGACAGATAAATTTAACTAATGTCCTATCTGAAGAATTTCCCCAAATGAAGCCAGATATCTGACAGGACATGTCGGAGCAGAACAAGGAAAGAAAGGAGAAAAAGAATGGAATGGAAAAAGAAAGGAATAATAATTCAGGAAAAAGGACAGAAGGGGTTAAGGAAAGACGAGAAGCAGCAATAACAGACAAATACAGGCAACAAAAGAGGAAGAGACAGAATATATGCAAAGAAAGAATGACTCATCCCAGAGCTGCTCCTCAGCTTCACCTTCACAGTAAGAGAAGCAGCATCTCTCTCTGAGCCACATCGACTCCCAGTGCCATGTCTGTGTGGAGGTCTGTGTGGGTCTGTGGTGGTCTGTGTGAAGGTCTTTGGGGGTTTGTGTGGGTTTATCAGCCTTAAAAAAACCCAAAGTGCCCAAACTCAGGCCAAACAAACAACCAACCATGGGGCTGATGACAGACTGCCAAGTGGAGGGAAGCCAGAGCACAACAAACTCAAACAGCCCATCAACCAAACAAACAACCCGCTGCAATCACATCGTGGGAGGATTATAGAAGTATTAAAGGTGCATTATGTGGCTTTGGGCTAATGAGAGCTGTGCAGTTATTAGGGTGGGAATGTGGTTAGGCAGCATGTCATGGATTAGGCCAAATGCAGGACTGGTTCCACCTGCTCTCTCCCGTCTTCCGGCCCCGAAAGCAGCACAAAACTACACTCCTCCAGAAATAAAGACAATTCAATTCAGACCTGCCCTGTGTGTACAGGGCTGCTACTGTAAGTAACACTTCATTTAGCAGAAACAAACCACGGCATAGCAATTAGAAAGAACTGGAAAAAGCTGGGGAACGAGTCATGCTCCCTCTGAAGCTACATATTCTCCCAGTATATTGACACCAGCTATACCAGATCTGTTGCTTATATAAGCTCCATTACCACAGACCACATGAGCTTCTGACCATTACCCCCAAACCACTGGGCCTCATTTATGTCACTAAAATATAAAAATGAGCCTCTGTGGACTTCACTGGTTCCATCAGCCCCCTTATATTAACCAGGTCTTCTTAACTTTTAAATCAAACACATCTGCATAACGGTGCTGATACCATCATTTTGATGATAGTAAAAAGACTAGTGTGAAGCAGAGCAAGTTTTAAACTTCTGAAACTGATGGCTATGGCATAATAAAATGAATGGTAATAAATGGAAAACAATGGCATGGCTGCCTGAAAAAACAGATTCATGAATCTATAATACTCTGTAAACAGTGTGCAGTAAAGCAAAGTACACATCAGACCTGCAGTAAAAATTCAACATTAAAATAGTGATGTGCTGCTATAGAAGGGTTTTGCTTGTTCCACTGCAGTGAAAGTTGTTTTCAGTTGTCATGTTGCAGACCTCAGTGAAAACCTGTCATTTCAGTTGGTTTTCAGTCTAAACACAGACACAGAGGAAAAAAGAAAAACAGCAGATGAGTTGCATCACCAAGAAACAGAACGACAAAACGCCCAGTGTGAGAACGCAGACGGACAGAAAGCATCTTCACGGAACAGTTCTTATTTGGATAAAACCCCTCAGTGGGTCGCTGAGCTGGATGGGGGGAGATGAGGGTCAGAGGCTCACACACACACGTCTTGACATGTGTAAATGGCTCCGACCGGGGTGGCATGTGGATACTGCATTAGCAGCTACGCATATTACTGCAGCCTGGTGCACTGCATGTATGGAGCTACACTGTAAAAACATCACTGTCAAGTTGTATCTGTAATGTGAACCCTTAAAGTTTGAAGTTTTGCACCGCATTTAAAATTTTTCAAATTGTTTCCAGTACTTCTGCAGCAAACTGCCTGGTTCCTAGCTGTTTAAAGATACAGATACTCGCTTGTAAAAAAAACAAAAAACATTTTTGTGGGAAACAGGTCAAATTATTCTCACTGCATGGGCTGATTTCTTATAGGAGGTTTTTTAACATTCTTTGGGGGCAATTAAAGACAAATTATTTTATAAGATAAATATTTCTTGCAGTGTAGACAAACACAAGTCTAGACTGCAAAAATCTGCCCCGTATGTACTTCTTCTCATTAAGTCCTCAAACATGACCTTTTTAAATCTGGGTACAAAGAAATCTGTGCAGGAGGAAAACTTCAACATCCTGTAGAATTCGGTGCTTGCTGGTTGCTGCACCTGAATCAAATAAAAATAAATGCCATGAACTATATTCTTCAAGTCATTCAGTCTCCTAAAACCCTTGTTTTAAGAAATACAACTGCCTTTTGACCTGCTTCCCCCCCAAAAAACTGACTTTTTTTCAACACTCTGAACTTGTGTTTATGGTGGCTACAGAGGACTCAACAGTTTAAGAAAACAAACTATTTGAATAACAAGTGATGGGAGAAACATCCTTCACTTGTTTTAAGAAAGGTGTCATTTCTCTTGCTTCTAGTGCAGCAATTATTCTGCAAAGTTCAAGATCCTCATGCTCATTTCCAGTTGATTTCTATTGGAAACAGGCTGAATTATCAGCTACTCACAGGAGCTTTTATTCGGCTAAAATTACACCTGAGAGGATCCGAACGCTGCTCAGAGGGAACCCAGAGGTTGGAGGAGGTTAGGGAGGACGTACAGTGTTAGAGAACAAACTTTTGAAGTCAACTGCATCACCAGTCTAATTCAAGTGTGAAGTTTAATACATTTTGATAGTTTTTTAAAGAATCTTTTGGCCTCAACTTGAGGTTTGGGGTTAAATATTTAAGAAACACATGAAGTTCTGGAGCAGTTTTTCTAGCTGAGGTGTTAGAAAAACTTTGTTAAATCTTCTGTGTCAGATGAAACCTCCAGCTCAGAGCTCTGGCACTAAAGAGGAAACTATATCTACAGGCTGTGCATTAGAGCACCAGCTGCATTGCTTTTTTTTATAACATTGTTCACCCTCCCTTGTCAAGGGGTCTGAATACAGCACATTGTTTCTTCTTGGAGACGATCCAGAAGAGCGTTTGTCTCCAAGAGCGCCTGGAGCAGCTCTGCAGCCAACCTGCAGCCGCTTTCTGAGCTCTGAAATCTCACTCCAGGACGGCCGGAACGCCGCCTTTTGTTATTTGTGGTTTCTGTTTGGAGTGAGATGTGTTTCTGTTTGTGTGTATCCTCGGGCGGTTATTAGGACGACGAGCGGCTGCTGGATGATGTGTTCAACCCCATCTACACACACACACACACACACACATTCCACAGTGGTTCTGGATGTTCGCTGGAGCCACATACCAACATTCCTCACAGCCCAGTTTCAGCTTCCTGACCCGCTCACGCTTTCCTCCACCACCGGCCCCTCCTGCGTTTTCACATTCTGTCCGTTGGCCGCAAACAAAATCCCACTCAACAAGTCACTTCGTCTCATATTCAGCCTTAAAACCGTGCTTTTCTGCCAGCGGGGTGAGATAATCCCTCTTGTTCTCAGCTTCCCTCCACTCAGGAATGTTTTATGAAACCAAATAATCCTGTTTCTGCTGATGTGTCAAGAAAATGATTCAAGAAAACTATTGATAGAAGCTGATTTATATGGAAACACTAATGCTGTTTTTAGAAAATGTAACATGTTAGGATTCTGTAACTGGTCAAGGTTTTCTGTGCTTCACTTTCAGAAAACAAAAGAAATGTCAGACTGGTCAGATAATAAATCCTGTTAGTGTCAGTGTCTAGAAAAAACAAACACACAACAGACAGCTGCACAAAAAGCAAGAGCATTGCTGATACATGCTAATTGCTTCTGGAAATCTAACATGGAGAGCCAATAACTGATGTTTCTGGGGCTTACTGTGGCAAAATGGAACCTTATAGGGCTCTACAACAGCTATAAGGAGTGGGTAAGTTGGAGAACGATCTCTATGGACACGAGTCACAGTTTCTCCTGTTTGAAGACTGAATTACTGATCTCAACCTAAAGGCTGTTTCTGGTGTTTACTTTATGGCTCAGTGGCAGAAAGTCGAAGAATTTGTGCACGTATTGTCCTTTGGTTTAACGTGAGACCTGCTACTGACTAAAATGACACAGTATTCAACCCTTCTGTCCAGATAATCAACTTCTGCTACTTTTCAGGAATATTCTAGCAACGACTGCCAGGATCTTGGAGGAAGACAGAGCAGTGTGTGCAGCTGCAGCAGGACTCAGGGAAATGATCCTTTACATGAGAACATAATCCTAGAAACAGTGAATTATCTCAACCCACAGGCATGTTTGCATCGTATTTTCAGACAACGTGACATGTTCAGCCTTTGTAACATCACCTCTGCAGTCTTTCACAACCAGGATGTTTCTTCTCACATCTGGTCTTAAAAATGCGCTTCTCTTTTTTCTATCAAATAAAAACTCTGCTAGTGGGTCAGAGATAATCCCAGTGTTGTTCCCAGTGACAGTTCTTATTTGGCCAGTAATTAGCCTGTGTCTTACAGTTGCAGACAAACAAAGTGCTGCATCTGTGGCAGAAAAATGACATGTAATTTAAAGTCATTTTTACTAAAAAGGTTTGCAGACATTTTCTCCACTGGCCGACAGAAACTCAGACTTCGGGGATGAATAAAAGGCCGCCTGGTTAAATGGC